ACTGCCAGTCAGTTACAGATTCCAAATCTATGTAGCCAACATCTTAACTTGGTTGAAGAATCCTATTTATTTCATTCTGTTATGTTTGGAATTGATCATTTTGTCTTTAAAAAAAAAATTAAGGCTCAATGTCACTTTTACTAGAATAATGTCCAATGGACATTAGTAGCATATGGTGCTGAACTAATTAATGACTGACTAATTACTCCCTGAACTAACTACCACTGCTGCAAGTACAACTCTTGGTTAAGAAAAGAAAAAAAACAAAAAATTTAATGTATTCACAGTTCTCAAGAGATAACTTACCTGCTTTGAATAGGGCCTCGGGGCTTCTCTTCTTTCTCTAGTTAATCTCCAAGGAGTTATAATTTCATAAGAAGAGAGACGTGATGTCTGTTGAAAGCCTACAGCAAAAGGAATAACAGTATGATAAAACAAAGTAAACCTGAAAAATTCCATAGTAGCAGAATATAATGGAAATCAAAACCTAAATGCTCCCATTACTATCCCACATGAAAATATGTGTAATACAAATAGTTTTATATAAAGTTTAGTGTTTAAAAAGCAATGTAGGGGGGAGAGGAAGGGGGCGGAGTGGGTGGTAAGGGAGGGGGTAGGGGCAGGGGGGAGAAATGACCCAAGCCTTGTATGCACATATGAATAATAAAAAAAAGAAAAAAAAAAAAAAAGCAATGTATTAGGTAAGTATGAAGAGGGAAAATATTCCCTAAAAAAAAAGTCAGCCTTTGTCCAAATAGTATATACTTAGTAATCGTTTTCAAATATTTTGTAGCCACCCACCTTAACCCTTTTTCTCAAAAGAAATCCTTTTATTAAAAAATATTAATATGTAACATAAGAGAAGAGAAGAGAGAAGGAAGAAGGAGTTGGAGAAAGAAGAAAAGGAGGAAGAGGAGGAAAAGGGAACTGCTTTAGTGAAGGAACGGGAGTGGAAGGGAGGCACCTTAGAGCCTAGCACTACTTGGCTCTCATTTCCCACCTTATGCAGCATGAACAAATACTAAGTGGACAAGGATGATAAAGAAGGGAAACTTACTTTTAACATCTGATGGATTAACTCATAAATGTACACTCAACATTGTGGCAAATGTCTCAAAATGAAATGGCTACCATTAATCCATCACAAAAATGTCCTAAGAGTTAAGAACTCAAACCAGTCATGAAAACTTTCTCCCAATCCCAGTCCTATTCGGTTTATCAGAAGGGAATTACATCTCAAGCAGGACTTGGATTCCAAAGTCATCACTCAGTAAAAATTGAATATAACCACAAATCCCTTGGGAAGAGACAGAGAGACAGAGAGACAGAGAGAGAGAGATGCTAGATCCAAACTACAGTCTCTTCTTCTTTCAGCATCATTACCAGTGGCATAACAGTTCTTTTTGTTGGTATTGTTGTTTCCTTACTTTTGAGCAGGATCTCACTTTATAGTCCAGCCTGGCCTTGAACTCAAGACACTCCTGCCTCCACCTCCAGAGTGCTGGAACTACATGTGTGCACTACCACACCTGGCAGTCACATAACATCTCTCAGCTGAAGTCAATGATGGTCACCATCTAAGGACCACAGATGAAAACGTGATGGCCTATATATTCCTATATACTAAGCCATACTCTGTATGAGGAAACTTAAGAATGGCATATGCAGACTGAAAGACTGAGGGAAGAGGTACAGCTTCTACTCAGGTTCTTCCAGAAACAAATACCACAAAAAGGGGGAGGAGGGGACTTCAATAAACTAAAAGAACTTTATAACCTGTTTGGATCCTAGTTAAAATAAATCAACTGAAAAAAAACACTTGAGGTAATTTGGGAAATTGTGACACCGAGTATATTTTTGATGATCCTGAGAAATTTTTCACTTTTTAAGTATAATAAGCACATTATGGGTACAGTTGTAGGTTTTTTGTGGTTTTTCTTTTTGCTGCTACTAGGGTTTGAACTCAAGGCCTTGTATCTCGTGGGTATGGTTTTACATCCTGTCTCACTCATTCATTCTAAATATTCAGTGACAGTATGATGTCTAGATGCATTAAAATCATGTAGTGTATTTGTGGAAAAAAATACATATAAGATTAAAACTGAACAATGGGTATTTGTATTCTGTTGTATGTTTAACAACTTCTACAATAAAAGTTATATTTATGTGGTTGCCTATAAAACATGGGATAAGGGAAAGACTATACAATCTTATATTATATTATGAAAAACTACAATTGTATCATGTAATATGAAATGTGACTATAAAATATGTCATAAATAAACATGTAGGTAGCATAAGTAAATGGACCAAACAGTTTAAAGTAGTTGCGAGAATAGAATAGAACCAGGAAGTAATGAGAAATGTATTTTCTATAGCTTCTGTAATTGTTTGAATTGGTTTTATAATGAGTATATATTTTGCCATTACTTATAATTTTTGAAGTTAAAAGGATGAAAAAGAAATTTCTTCAATAAAAATAGTGGCAAGCCTGTTTTAAAGATTATCTGTTAAATATAATTACCACTGATTTATCTAGTATCTCTTCTAAAAACATCTCTCTAACATTGACTCTTGCTTCAGCTATCAAGATAAGTCTCCCAAAAATGAGTCCTAAAAGACCAACATTGAGCACAACTCAATCTGCTCCAAAATTCCTAGAAATAACTGACACATGTACTATGGCCACTATATTAATTTTTGCATTTTCTGAGCTCATCTATGCACACTTAAATTGACATTTATGTCATTGCCTAATTTAATTTTTTTGTTATGCCGTATGTGCATGTGAACATCTTTAGGATGATTCTATTATAGAGTTAATGTAAAGGAACTGTTGCTTCTGTTTCTCTCTCTCTCTCTCTTTTATCTTTTTGCTGCTACTTCTAGAAAACAATCACACTTCCAAAGTTTTATCTCACCCAGGACTAACTAAAATGCAGGCAAACAAACAGTTAATTCTTAGCCAGGTGCCAGTAGCTCATGCCTATAATCCTAACTACTCAGGAGACAAAGATCAGGAGGATCACAGTTCGAAGTCGGCCCTGGACAGATAGTTCCCAAATCCTATCTCAAAGTACCCTACTGAAAACAGGATGGGTAGAGTGGCTCAAATGGTAGAGTACCTGCCTAGCAAGTGAAGTTCAAACCCCCAGTGCCATACACACACAAAAAATAAAAAGTATCATTCTTTATCTTAGGTCTGAAGAAAAAGAATTTTTTGGTCAGTAACTTTAATCTATTTCATTCTGTTTTAACTGTAATTTGCATTCAAATCTTCTTTTATAATTGAATCTATTAACAAGTATATTTTGTAAATCACTACTGTATAAGTAAACAGTTTAAGATTGTTTTCCTTCCTTATTTAGAATATAAGGTTACTAACAGTATTTGATTTTATTTTAAAGAAGAAACAAGTTTATTTAAGTTCAAAAATTTTTTTTAAATAATTATAAAATGCAAATTAGAAAGAGGTAAAACTCATCATAGGAAAGAATATGGCGGGATAGTTTTGGATGAGAAAGCATTTTGTAAAGTAAACTTTGTCTTAAGAACTATTCAAAATGGAAAAAGGGGCTGAAAAAAAAAAGGATTTGAAAACTGCCAAGTGAATGAGTAGATCTTTAAAAATAAATAAAAGGTGAAGGTTATCAAAAGTTTATAGTGCAATTAAATGTCTATAATTTTTTAATTACCTAGGAAGAATTTCTAAGGTCAAATTTAATGTACCGATAAAAAATTACTTATTCACTACATCCTATAACAACATAGGTGGTCTTAATATTGTTCTTCTCTCAGTAACATTTGTGGAAAAAAATGTCTTAAAGGAAAGATTTTTAAATTT